CATCAGGTTTCTTTTGATATTTCTAGTTACTGATTTTCTGTTGAGACGCAATTGTTTAATTCTTTGGCCAAGTCATAAGCTCAATGATGCTGACGTAAATTGAAAGGGAATCGGTTGTATTCATTGGTGTTATAATCAGGTAAGTTAGAAGATCTGAGGGCAGGGTGCATCCCCTTGTCTCTAGTAGATTTGTCATCAGCATACTGAATGCAGTGATGGTTTGAAAAGTTCTTTAAAAATTTATGAATTGATGACAGGGGAAGTTTAATATTCTGATTTTTATAAAGCTTGATTGGTTTCAAAAGCAATTACACTACTTGGAAAATTTTATTTTATGGAGCAAGGACATTTCAGTAATTTTTATTATTTCAACATTTCTTTTAGGTTCAATATTAAGTTAAATGGAAATGTAACTGGAAATCTGATGTATTTTATTAGATTTTGCTTTTTAGAGAAAGACTACACTGCATGTTTACAAACAGATCAAGAATTTGCTTCTGGAATCAGACTGTGTATGAGAAATATCAGCTTGCAGTGATGAGATTTTTTTCCTAATATATTTCTTAACCCTGATAATAGTAATGATATGTGGTGTATTGTCGTGGCATACAATCACACAGCTCTGCTCGGTAGTGCATGATAGCAAAAATGAGAAAGGGTTGTGCTGAGACAAAGAAAAGAGTCTCTTTCATTGCTCTGGCATCAGCACTTTCAATGCCAAAGGGGTTTTGGTCTGAGTGTTTACAGAGATGACTGTATTTTGAAACATTCTGCTTATGAAATGAATGGGTGTTTTTATAAATATATATATCTATATGGGCAGGCCTCCTTATGAGGACAAAGTGGACTAAATACAGACTGAGGGAATATAAAACAGACCTGTCCAGCTTCTTGACAAGTTGGTGCAAAGATTGTACTTTAGTACTGCACTCAGGGGTCAGGCAGCAAATACATTGCATCATATTGCACAATGGAGAAAGGCATTCAGGAGGCAGGCGGGTTTTCCAACAGGAAGATTCAACCCAGAAATTACCAACATGACAGTCTTTATATCACATTTCTCTTTTAAGTTTAACATCAATGTTTAACTCCGAAGATTTGAAATTTTATAAATCTGTGAGCCCAGATCCTGATAGACAAGATTGACATATATTTATCAATATAATTCAGAGTGTGAAGGTCTCTTGAATGGATCCTTCTGTATGGATGGATGCTAAATAGCTCCTGAGGATTTTCTTCAGATGGAATGCTTGTCCTGACACCTCTGCAGAGATTAATTCAGTGGACGACTGCTGGAGTCTTGGAGAAAGTACCTGGTCTTATAGGTTTTACAAATGGGAAAATGAAATATGGTCCCAGCTACTAATTTTCCACTGGGCACAGAATAAGCCTGGCAGATATGGGATGAAAAATGAGACTTCTGTTCCAGGATTAGTCCCATTCAAAATGTCTTAAGTAATTGTATGCATTTGATTTGTTTATGGCTAGAAATTTTGGAAGTCTAGAGTCTTTTATTACTGGGGGTGGAGGTCTTTGAGGGCAAGCTGCAAGAGAATGGTCTTGAAATGTGCAAAACTAATGGGCATGTCTGGTATGTTGCTGATTCTTTTGAAGAGATACTCTATTGGAAGGAAATGCTGCCAACACATGTGGGAAGGACTGTGCCACTCAGATCTTTTGCACCATTTTGAGAAGACTGATGGGCAAGTTAGCTAGATAGAATCATAGAATCATAGAATAGTTTGGGTTGGAAGGGACTTTTAAAGATCATCTAGTCCAAACCCCCCCTGCAATGAGCAGGGATATCTTCAACTAGATCAGGTTGCTCAGAGCCCCGTCCAGCCTGACCTTGAATGTTTCCAGGGATGGGGCATCCACCACCTCTCTGGGCAACCTGTC